TACCTCGTAACTCATTTGAAGGTCATGATTTGACACATAGCAGACGGTAAGATGTCACATGGTTGTTCATTTTATTAAAACGGTCATATCTCTTGCATATGAACTCAGTTTTTGATTTTCTTTATGTCCATGTTTTCTTATTCATTAATTAGGTGATGAACCTATTGATACCATATAATAATATCTAATACATATATGTCGTTTAATCATATGTACTAACCCATTCCTTATATATAATGAAACTTTTTGTTTATTAGGGATTCATATAAATCAAAGACTTAATTGATATTTTGGATGTATTTTAAAGTATAATACAGTATAAACATCAAAATGATATGATCACTACACATTAGGTATATTCTAACATTGATTAGACTAACACTGTGCGTTTAACGGCGACCTAATTTCTACAAATGTCACAAAATATGATTAGGTAAATGAGTTTACTAAAAACAGTATGTTGTGTCGTACCATTTAAGGATCACATAGAAATCTTTTGTGACTTATAAGTCTACTTAATCAAATATGGAGATGAAGTTATTTGCAAAATTCATACAAATTAAATTTAGTCGGACCCATTAATAAAGTCCTTATTTTAAGCTAAGTATGAATGGTCACACTTTAGCTATAGGAATTTATTATTATATAAACAAGATTTGATTTGGATTTAATATTTTGATATTGGAACATGAAAGACAACTATTATACTGTTTTGATATATTGGGATATGATTATAACATTAATAATTGTTGTGTTTTATATTAACATGTTTAATCCATGAATAATCCTATTATTCTAAAAGTTTATAGTTTGTTATAAATGTGGGAGCAATTATGAAGTAAGACTAATATGAATTGGATTGGTTAACTCTCACCAGATGAAAGTAGGCAATGGGCTGTAACAAAGATTCATAGGTGCTTGTCATAGAACTAGTATTGAACGGACCCACATCAAAATCACCTAATAGCTCGATTTCATGTGTGATACTTGATTAAGAGGTACTATCTTTGTATCCTAAACACCTAAGATACATAGTGAGACTTAAGTGTAGGAAGTGTTGTGCTTTGAAATGGTCAAATGTTGATCCATAACCGGGTAGTTATAAAATCCATTTTCATGTATGGTGAGAACTATGCGAGAGGATCATGTAGGTAATATGGGATTTGTTCCTCTTATGTATTGAGAGTTAGGCATCTACCACGTTACCCAAAGTTGAACACCAAATGAGATTGATTACGATCCAAGTCTCATATTCAACAGGATGCCTGTAACCAAGGGATAATTGATAAATTTATCTTATACATCAATTGAAGCTTTAAGCTTTTGGGAATTGGATTTTGATGAATGGCATTCTTCGTTGGATGTTATTGGGGGCAGTGAAATGTTGCTAGACGTTCACCACTATCTATATCAATCTATGATGAGTCTTTTGCAAGTGGGAGATTGAAAGATCTTTATGCCCAAGAGTCTTTATAAAATGATATTGCTAGTGACATATGATCTTATAGGGTCACACCTTGTAGCAAGTTACTACCAAATTGATTATTTATTAGTATAATCTGATTATTAATAAATATAATCAATACTTGTATTTAATTGGAAAAACATTATTTTATGAAAATAATATTTTACCAACATATTGAGAATTATTTTTGTAGGAAATAATCATCAAAGAGAAAAAAAACTACTTAATATCATAAGGTATGAATATTAAAGTTGTATACAAACTTTTGGGCATTTTAGGTATCTACTTTAGTTACATTCAGTGTTGTAAATATCGACCTAAGCGGTAGGTCGTCTGCAACTGATTATGATTAGGGGTGTTTGACGGAAATTGGTCAATATCGGTCAAACTCGGGCTAGGCGGTCCTCAACGCTCCTTGGTGATACTTGGCGCTCCTAGGCGGGAATATTTTTAAAAACTGAAATTTTCAAAATTTCAAATATTACACCAAAAATTTAAATTTTTAAATGTTCAAATTTTCAAATATTATACCAAATATTTCAAAATTTCAAAATCTAAAGATTTTAAATTTTCAAATACTAATTCTCTTATGATATATTAAGTTTTAAAATAGTTTTATCAGTAATTTAGGACCCCAGTCAACCGCCGAGCTACCGCCGAACAATTTTTACAACCTTGGTTACATTCCAACTAGTAGTTCAAGGCTTGAGTGTAAGACACATTATGTGTCTCGTTTTTCTTCATAATGTCATAGGCATATAGAGGAAGAAATAGATTGCATGTGGCTTTGTTTCTTGCATCCATTCTTTCATAAGATGGATCATACCTTCATTAACTGAATGCTTGAATTTAGTACATATGTAGAGGTATTTAAAGGGTGCATTTCTAACATGAAAGGGCTGGTTTTTAGAATGAAAACTCTCTAAAATAAGGGCTGCCATTTTCAACATTTATGGCTCCTTTCTACCTTCTTGCTTTCTTGTAAATGGTACATGAAATGAAGAATTATATGTTGCTTCTCCATAATCATATTTTAGTATATGTCTTAACGGCTTAAGAACAAGACATTTCAAGTGAAGACTAACATGTATGGTGGTTTACTCTTGCTTGGTGGATATCTTTAGAGAAGCTCTCATTTGAGTAGTTTGCCATCTCCATCAACCTCCTACTTGCCAAAGGAACCAAAGACTTCAAAGGTTGTAACTCTTTCCTTTTCTATGGTTTTTGTTCTTTTTCTGGACTTTGCAAGTAAAGACTAACATCTATGGTGGTTTACTCTTGCTTGGTGGATATCTTTATAGAAGCTCTCATTTGAGTAGTTTGCCATCTCCATCAACCTCCTACTTGCTTGCCAAAGGAACCAAAGACTTCAAAGGCTGTAACTCTTTCCTTTTCTATGGTTTTTGTTCTTTTTCCGAACTTTGCAAGTAAAGACTAACATCTATGGTGGTTTATTCTTGCTTGGTGGATATCTTTAGAGAAGCTCTCATTTGAGTAGTTTGCCATCTCCACAACCTCCTAATAGCCAAAGGAACCAAAGACTTCAAAGGTTGTAACTCTTTCCTTTTCTATGATTGTTGTTCTCTTTCCGAACTTTGCAAGTATATCCTTTGGTGGGAATAAAACTAGTTTTGTGTTGTTCAAAATTAAAGTCTTTCGACTCCATCTTTATGTTTTTGAAGCAATTTTTAATAAAAACCCAACAAAAGATGTGGGTGATATTAGATTAGAGATTAAGGGATTGTGGTAATGGTAGTAGTCCCCATTTTCTTTTTTAATTTCTTGTCAATAATAAACAAATTAGGAATATATCAAAAAAGAAATAGATAAGAGTAAAATAGTCATTTTAGGTCTTGTTAACGAATCCAGTGACGAAGCGTGCAATCGACAAGGGACGCTCCGAGATAATTTTTTAAAATAGGGACTAAACGTGTTTTTTGGTACTTGCGTGACGGATGAATCAAATAATTTACTCCTTAAACAATTCTTAATTTCTGAAAGTACAAAAATTCCATTTATGATCAACCATGCAAATATTGGACCGTTTTTCAAACTATAGGATTTCTTTTATCTGGTATTCTGATCAATTATCTAAATTTCGTTAAAGAGAAGAGAATCAAAACTATAACATGATTGTTGTCTTAGGAAAAAAAAGGTTGAATGTGATGTCAAATGTTTGAGAAGGATACGGTATTCTGTTTTATATTGAATTTTCTACAGCAACCGATTACATGAGAGGACATAGATCAAAAAACAAGTCATGGATTTGTTCAGTTAATGTGTTGTTGTGAAGGCATTGACCACAAAGTAACACAAAAAACGACCACCTCTGCAATAGTCTTATTTCCAGAAAGGCCAACTCATGAAGATTATCTGTATCTTTTTCGATTTTGGTTCTGAAGGAAGAAAAATATAAAAGTTATTCTCAAAATAATCAGTAAGAAAAAATAGAGATTCAAATGAAGTGTGTATACCGACACTGTGAATGGGAGGAGTTCACGTGAGCATTAGTGATGGGTGGTGAATGGCATGAGTTGAGGTGAGCTTTGGAGAGAAAGGACTATTTAGAAAGAAATTGTGTGTGATAGAGAGGGGGAAAGGGGGTAGGGGGTCCATCTTTTTATAATGAAAATCAGTTAAAAGAATGGAAAATAAATGATAGGGTAGTAATGTCTTTTTATTTTAAATGGGTGAGAACCACACAAGATATTAAAACCATAGAGATTTAAATTTTCATAATGTCAATGGGACAATAATTGAAATTTTATGTGCCAAACAAAAAGGCAGAACATGGATTTGCTATTGATCTCTCATAACTGTGAAAGACGTTAAGGCCCTCCTCTTCTTCCTCATCCAGTCAACCATGCGGGCCCATTAATTTGTCACACATGGCACAAGAGGGCAAGACAACGTTATTTTGTGTGTATTGGACTTGTATCTAGACTGATGCCAAACGCACAAAATTGCAACTTTTTTGTTCTACCTTTTATGTTAGACGAGAACTTGATATCGATCTCAATTGTGCAAAAGACTTGCTAGCCCTTATCATCCTTATCACCAAATAGCCGTATAAAGCTTCTTCACTATTAACCAATGTCCCATGTAAGAAAATTAATAATCAAGTATGCTATCTTCCCGAGTTCAAAATTAACCATTTCACCCTACAATTTGTTCCATTAACTGTGAACGAATCGTAATACTCAATGCCACTAACGACTTGGAGATTATCATTTTTAACATGATATAGAACATTTCCCCAATTAACAGTTTCTGAAATGATAATCTAGATTCAAATTCAGTCTGCAATTGAGATTGTTACTGTTAGAAATCAATATACAAACTGTTTTGCAATGACCAGAGAATATATATTGGGTATGTATGTAACTGTGACAATCTATTGTTGATGATGTGGTGGGAATGGTATGTTGGGTGGCTCAAGCAGAGAGTGACACTCCTCTGCTTGACTACATCATATACAACTTACATCATATTCCTTACATTTGTATTAATTAACTCAAAAACCATTCATATTGTTTTCCCCTATTTTTGGCAATCAAAGATACAATTATCAAAACAAAAACTGAAAAGATAAGTCGTTACTAGAGGTGACAAGAAGTAAACCATCTTAATTCTTCTGTAAATGCATCTATTGTTGAATTCAGACAGCCATTCAGCCTCTCTTTCTAAAGCATTTTCATGTCAAGGATGAGACCTTGAAGATTCCCCCTTACCCTATGTAAAAGTAAGAAAATTTTAAAAGTTACATAAGTTTATAGAGATATGATACAAAATTCTGTGACTTAACGACTCATCATGACCCCATGACGCCATAGTCGACTATATTTCCATGGCTTCTAAGTTCTTAGAACATGGAAGACCATAAACATCTATTATAGGTTATGCATGGAAATGTGAGAACTTGAACTTAGTGACTTTGACACACAATGGCAATACAATACAACAAGATCTCCTTAAATTTGTTTGTACATATATGTGAATCAGCTAAACATATGTGGGACATGTTAAAGAATAAAATCAAACGATCAAAACATGTCCATAAAAATAGAACAGTACAAGGCCTAAACGAATAAAACAATTTTAAAGCATCAGCTAGTGAGTCACTGACTGAAACCCTTGACTTCTATAGTATGCTTGTTAGCAAGTTGAAAAGACTTCAAGTGAAAAAACGATAAATATTAAATTCATGTCTAGTGTAGGAGGTCAATAGTAAACAGTGAGAACTATAATCTGAATAGCTAAATATGTTAACAATTTATCAATACATGGACAATAAGTATACACGAAAAAACTGATTGTTCAAAGTCCAATAAAATGTGGTCGACCATTGCAATTGATTAGAGGGAAACCAATGACCTCGGGTAATCAAATAATAGTTCAAGGTTATATAAAGTTTATTGGAGGAAATGGAAACTGTGAAGCAAACCCCAGTGCATTTGGTGGCAAATTAACCAGATTTAAAGGCTGAGGAAAGTTAGGTTCCAAAAAATGTGATGAAATTTTGGATTTTCCAACTGAGAAATTCCACAAATTCATGAAGAATCAAAACAGAGGAAATCATCTTTTAGAAAAGATTACAAACAACCACCTCCATTTAACAACTTCTAGAATGCTAATCCAATATTAACAAACTCATCAAAAGGATCAAGTATTTGATATTTCCAATTTTAATATATCTATTAATGAACTCAGAAAGCATCTTGTAAATGTTGCCTCTAAACATGTAGAGAAGGAGGCCATTCAAGAAAGGACTAAGACTGTAGTAAATAAGTACAATAGAGGGATTGTATGATTAAAATTCTCAACAACAAGAAAACTAAATAGACTTGATTGATATCAAACATTTGAATTGTAAATATTTTGAAAATTAATTTTGTTGATATAAAAAACTTTTATATTCAAAAGATACAACGAAATGTCCTTAAAACGAAGGCTCTATTTTGGGTGTCAAAATGTATACCTCACATGCACGACCAAGTATGTCAGGCTTCCTTGGGGATAGAGCTCTAAACCAACCCTTCTCTTTTGCTGAAAACATATAAAAAGTAATATGTTAATATTTATCAACAAACATCCACTTGGACAAAGCAGTTTGTATCGGGTCCCGATCCAACATATGAAGACTTAATGAGTTGACATAGGCCTATTCAGACGGATTGATTCATTTAAAAGTTAGAAGTAGAAATTTTATTCATATTTTATAAATAAAAACTTTTATAAATCGGTCATTATCCATCTATTTAAAGAAGTTTGGTAATGGATGAGATCATTACACTTACACATAAGACATGACAATAAAATATATTTAACAAAATTGACATCTACCTTGAAAACTAGGTCCATTTACAACAAATTTACGATGATAGGGAAACAAGCTAATGCCACGTGAAGAAAACCGCTTGTTGTTTAGGATGTATTGTCCTGTTTTTGTTTGAAAAGGAGAGAGATCTCCACCAATTATGTGATTCCATGACTTGTAATAACCCAACGCATCTTCTTCTCCTTCTTCTTCTTCTCCATCATTATACACAAGAGTCACCCCACACTCCTTTACAGATTCATAAAACGGCTCTATAACACTAATAGAAATGTGGTCACCAGCTTCCATCTCATTCATTCCAAACATCCAATGACTTAACATCACCCTACACTTTCGATTTAGACTATATCTGTCAATGTAACGTTCGTATATCCACATATGGTTTTTTGTTATATTACTAATAGTGACCATTGGCCATGTAGGGAACTGATCATCTACAGATGAAGGCGTTTGATCCAATGTTCGCCACGTGTGCAGAGAGCAGCAATTAATTCCTGTAAGGAGCTTGTTTGGAGATGATAATGATGATGATGATGGAATGGTAAATGATATTGATGGCCCCACGATTCTATACTTAAAAAAACTCGGCATCTCCTCCGCCACATATATTGTGCTGAATATTCCAAATTCATAAAACATCTGCCAAATACAACAACATTAATTAATCAACCACCATAATAATTATATTATACATTTTCATATAATGTCACAGAGTTAAGTTAACTAGACAAAACCTGGATTACAGATTCTGAAGAACTGTGGTTTTCTTTAAGGAAGTCCAAATTATTCCAGCACAAGCTACGTAATACCTTTTCCTCAACACTCATCATTGCTTGGATTTTGAGCATACCTTCAACTTCGAATGACCCAACTTTGCAATCTAACCATGTGTAATCTTTCCAGTTTACTGATAATTGGAGTGGGGACATTTCTGGATCAAATAAAACTCTGTCTACATAATACCCATCATCAGGATTAATAAACAACTCTTTTAGTGTACGTGGAGGATACTCGACTGAGTTCAATTTTTTACACTTTCCCATACTGAGTGTCTCAAGTCTAGGAAGGGTTCTCACGCAACTGGGCATGGAATTGATAGGATTTTCATCTAAATATAAGTGCTTTAACATGGATAGGCAGCTAAAGTCCATGAGAAAGGAATCATGTGACATATTATTATTTGCAAGTGACAACTTTACTAAAGACTTCGGTAAAGACATAGCAAAGGACTTCAAATCGCGTGGTATATCACCCATAAAGGCAGAGAAAGAGGTTCTTTTGTTTATGCCCATGTTGTAAAACATACATATTTCCTGTGAATCCATATCCATTTTCGTGATTTGAGATTCACCGAGATTACAACCATCTAGCAACATTGTTTTAACCTTCTTTAACATGCTTATATTGCTTGGAAGTTTTTCAAGCATCTTGCAGTAGCTCAGATCAACGAGGACAAGTTCACCACATTGCCTAATTGATTCACAAACATCAAGCAAACCAATGCAATTTCTAAGTATCAACCTCTCAAGTGCAGGAAGTTGGTCAAAGTCACCAACACTATGAAGTTGTTCACAGAAACTTAAATTAAGAATCTTTAATGAACAAAATAACCTTTTGTCTTTTAAGCTCAATCCATCCAACTACAAAATGAAAATAAGTTAGTATAGTATTGAATTTCATCAAATCACATGCATGAATAATAAATGCATGGAGATAATTTTACCTTTTGCCTCTTCTCAAGTCTTTGTGGATTACTATAACAACTGACAAATGATTCAATATTGCTATATGATATGTCAAGAGAAACGAGATTGTATATAGGTAAGTCTAAAGATATAGACTTTAAAGGAAACCCATGCATACACAACCATCTTATTTCTTCTGGAAAGTTCTCATAAGAGCCATTCATGTGTACATAATTAAGTTGTAGTAGCATAAGACTATCCATGTTAATCAATGCATCTGTTTTCAGCTCAAATGATGCTCCCAACTTCTCTTTCTCAAGCATGTGCATGTCAAGGGCAAGGCCTAGGATATTTTCCTTACCCTAAGAAGAAACATAATGCGAACAAACAAATTAGACAAAACAAAATAAATTTTACACAGACACACTACTAAAAGCAGGCATGGCCTTTTACCTTTTTTTGTTTCAACACTCCTTATGACACCATAATCGACTTCGCTTCCATGGCTTGTCAAGAGATTCTTTACACACTTCGAATCTTCCCATCTCTTGAACCAACTGATGCATCTTCAGTTCGTTATTCCCTCCAATACTAAGGAGGCATCTGTCAATGAGATTCGTGATTCCGAATCTTGTATTTATATCACATGCATCTAAAATTGTTTCTGTAACGTCTCTATCTATTCCAACAAAAAAACAAGCAATATGCTGAAACAATTCCTTTTCGTTTTTGGATGGCAAAGAGTCAAAGCTCATTCTCAAGACGTTATTTATAGGAGAACTAATTTCTTTCTTTAGCCCTTCCATGCACCCTTCCCAATACTCCACATCCCGATTATACAAAGACTTGCCTAAAACTTCAAGAGCCAATGGATGTCCTTGACAATACTTCACAAGCTTATATGACACCTCTTCATAACCTGCCTTTGGATGGTTACAGATGAATGCATGTGAACACAAAAGTTGTCGTGATTCAGTCTCATGTAAGCCTTCAAGGAAGAGTTCTGTATGCTCTGGCTTAATGTTTGTTTTGAAAAGTGTACAACTTTCAGTCAACCATCTGTCCTTTGTTGTTATTATAACTTTGCTTCCAGAATGAAAACCTTTGCTTCCAAGCAATGCATCCAATTGAACAAGAGTACTGATATCATCAAGAACTAGAAACACCCTTTTACGGGCCAGTGAATTCTCTATCTTCGCGGCGTATACTGAAACATCATGAACTCTAATTGAACTCATTTTTGAAATGTCATTGCAGAGTTGTTCTTGTAAATCAAGCAACCCATTAAACTTTCCATCACATATCCTACTAATATCTTCAATATAGCTGCTTTTATGAAATTCACGACAAAGCCGAAACACATGTTTGGCTAAAGATGTTTTCCCGATCCCGCCTATACCCGAAATAGTGAGTATGTCTGTTGTATGTGGGGATGCATCTTTCAACCATGAAGTGACAAAATTAATATGATAGTCCATCCCAATAAGGTGTTGTCGAACACTCCTTAAGGGTACATGTAATCTACGGTGGATATCCTTCACAATTTCTTCAATGAACTCCGTCCTGAAAAACTTGATTTATTTAAAGACTTCTATACACAATCTACAAATTAACAAACCAGATTTGGAGATTATATTTATCCAACGATCCAAATTAAAATTATATCATAGCTATTGTTTTTAATTAACTTCTTCCCATCAGAACCACATTGCATTCTCACTTCTGACCATACAAAATATAAGATTTTTTATGAGATTAACCCTAAAATATATGCATATTTGATGATATTGAAAAAAACGAATTGAAATATATAGGGAGAAGATGGTATTGGCATTTCATGCGTTTACTCAAACAAAATTAATTAAAGGTGTATGAAAATATGAGTAAGAAAGTAGTTACCTTCCATAAACATCATTTCCTTTCAAATTAGCAACTTCTGTAAGCGCTTTATTCCATCGGTCCATCTTTTGAGCCCGCTGACTTCTTTTGGTTACATTTATCTCCGCCTCCATTGTCTGCTTATGCTTAGCCATTGCATCTCCAAAGCTACTTTGTTGCTTCCTAACATGGGTGGGCTCTACATGATAGAATATGGGGATGACAATATGGCCGGATGTCATACGCTGCTCAAGGATCAACACCAATTCATCAAGGCACCATGTTGAAGAAGCATAATTCTTGGACAACACGATAATAGAAGCCCTGGATGCCTTAATCGCATTTTCCAATTCCGGTTTCAGATCTTCCCCTGTTTCAATCTCTTCATCATCCAAGAAGGTACTGATATTGGCATCAATAAGGGCCTGATAAAGGTAATTGGCATCAATAAGGGCCTGATAAAGGTAATTGATGAAACTATGACGAGTGTCAAGACCTCTAAAACTTAAAAATATGTCATATCTATGATCGTGAGTTGATGAACTATGGCCTTCAATTGATGAAGAAGACGAAGATCCTTCTGGAAGTTCAAATAGAACAACCATTATGAGTTATGGTCGGGTGTCTCTTAGTAATCTTTGAAACTCCTCCACACGTTATCTGTTAAGAAAGTTGGTTTCACCGGCTTTCCTTACTTTTGCTTCAATGTCAGGATCTGGTACATGATTTCTCTACCTAAAATCAAAATTATTATATCTACTATATGCAACTTAAATCTCATGAAAATATTCTAAACTCAATGATAATAATAACCTTGAATTCTTCCAAAAGAAATTTTAAATAAATAGAATACAACACGAATGAACTCTGATTGTACTAATATGCCACTTTTTATTCCCAAACTTCGAGTTTCGAGTTCATTTTGGAGCTATATAGTGCTTAATGTGTATATGTGTGTTTTAACACTTGATTTTGATTTGATTAACCCACATAAACATCCCTACTATTGTGTAAATTTATCCATCTGAAGTTCATTTAAACAAATTAACACTAATTATGATTCTGTAAACAACTACAAGATTCACTATTACGCCCCTCAAGAGAAATTGCAATACATGGAGGAAATTTCAAGCTTGCACTAGATATCAACAAACAATTAAAAAAGATCTAAACAAAAAAGGAGTACGTTTCTTGACATGGTTGTTTATAGATCCCCCAAATTAGCAACAAAATCTTTTCAACTTTGAAATTCACTATCACTGGATCTAATATCAGCTTAAATCTAAAGTCAAGTCCTTTCTAAGGTTTCAATTTCAAACTCTAAGAAATAAATGAACAACTTTAACTGAAATTGAAAAAATTCAATCATCTGTTAACTACATAAACAAATGATTATGATTTAAGAGTGTCGCTCATAATTACCTGCCAACGGGAAGAAAATGAGACCTGACGCAGTGATGATAGACGATGAACTAGCAGTGACGAGGCTAAGAAAGACGACGGCTGGAAATTACAGAGGTTCTCCTTTGCCTTACGAATCAACGGTGTTATTCTTTTCAAGACAATTAATGGTAAATTGAGGCAAATTCTAAGAATTGTTTAAGTCAGCAGCGAAGAATTAGTGGGCTCTTTTGGGGTAAATTCCTAAGACCCTCCACATGGGGTCTTTCAAAAAAAGCTTCCAATACCACTAACGCCACTGATCAAGTATTTATTCCCACTTAGAACTTTATCTTTTTATATCTAAAAGAAAGACCTGTTGGTGTCTTTATATTTTTATTTTTATCTAGTATTTAAATACTAAAAACCAATATATATATATATATATATATATATATATATATATATATATATATATATATATATATATATATATTCAATTGAGTGAAAAAAAAGATTTAAAATGGGGAATTTATTTTCGATTAATCAGTTATTTTTTTTACGTAAAACGCATCACCGTACAGGCACGACGTAGGAGAGCTAATATTCACATATGAATCCACCACCTCTGCGGCGCCACCACCACCTATCAAGGACAATTATTCAAGTCCTTTATATCCCTCATTCTAGTGTTACTTTGGAGTTAAAAACATTGATGTCCTAGGTAAATATATATCAATTATATAAGTTTTCACTAATTTAGATAGGTTTTTATAGAGTTTGTATTTTTTATAGTCGTCTCTTGACAACGACTGTGATGCGCTTGATTGAGGTGATATAGAGAATGGAATCAATCCACATATGGATCTTCAGTGACCGAGGATAAAATAAACTCTAATGCACGTGGTTAATGGCATGGTCACAATATCATATATAAGGAATGAAAGCTAAAAGGCTGTTCAGTTTTTGCATCCTCATTCATCATTCTACTTGAGATGATGCAAAATATATTAAGTTATGCAAAAAAAAACTTGGCAAACCTATTACCATGACGAATATCGTACTAAAGTTTTATTGCATCACTCTCAAGATGTATTCCTACTACTAGTTCCTCACCATTAATTTGAATTAATCTCGCCTTCTCAATTTGATTACAATGCCTGTACGGAATATCTTGTACAGTGTAGGAATAATATTTGGTAATATACGAAAACAAACAAGAAAATAGAAAAACTGAGGCATGTGTTTAACACATTGTCCTTAAAACAAATTCGTCCGCTACCAGATGTTTGTTTCCCAGGATACAACAGTTTAAAGTGGTTTTTCCAGACCACTCGAACCCTCGATAGGCCTGAATTATATCCTCAATGTAGCTAGAAAAAGAAGAATATAAAGTGGGGAAGAAGAGAGTCTTCTTACATTCTTTTTGGTGTCTTCAAATGGTTGTAGAGTAGTAGTATTTATACCACACATTCTATAACCTCTCATTTAAACACCTCTATTAATCACAAGATTAATATGTGTTTAATATGTAATTAAACTATAATATTAATTACAAATTCAGTTACGAAAGAAAGAAATATTTGCAAGAAAGGTCCCTAGACTTTTTTTTTCTTTCTCTCAACCATTAAACTCTTTTATTAATTCTTCCAACATCCTTACTTTAAGGATTAATTTCTCATTCATATAAATCCATTTTGGACGTGTTAAAAAAAATGAGAAAACCCCATTTTTATAAATTGGTTAACACCAATTTTCCAACAATCTCCCACATGAATGAAAATTGATCAAGCATTTCCAATCTACCTAGATAAAATCCAACAGTTGAATCATGCATAGGATAGGTAGGTGTTACCCTTTGAACATTCCCTTAAGATACATATTTATTTTACTAGCGGACCAGTAGACTCGATGTCCTTGAACTGTTCTGCCATTTGTGTAAATAATTAATATGTGTCTCACATGATTCTCCCTGACCTAGTTAGGTTCTCATTGATGTGTCTGTTATGGTCATGGACACTTGCCTGGTTCTGTAAGAACTCTTAGGAATGTGCCCATACAATTCCATTTGAAGCGACCCCACTTCTTTCTCACATAGATGATTCCATCATAATCATTAAAAGCTAATGCATGATTATTTCCAACTTATCATCTTCGGCTATAAGCTTAACTTGCATCACTGTTTGTTCTAGGAATGGATTGGTGTTAACCCCCACAGTGATTCACAAATGTTATATGCAAGTAGGTTGTCCCATTGAACCTAGATCTTGGGATCTCCAGTCAACTAAGTTGGGTTTTCCTTCAGAATAACTGATTGATCTATGCGTTTAGTCCCATTCCTCATAACGATCTCTCATTCCAAGCATTTCGTTAGCGGATCCGCAATCTTATTTTGACTTTATGTAGTAATTAAAGATAATTCATCTTGAGAGTCGTTGTTGAATGGTGTTATGTCTTATACAAATATGTCTAGACTCACCATTATTTACATTATCATGTACATATATAGGAGTTATTGGCTCGTCGTGGGACGTCTCCCAAGAACTTACAAAGCCCTTTAGTTCATTGTCCAACCTTGGATAAACTTGCAAATTTGTTCTCCTATATTTTCCAACAAATGTTGACCATTATCAATATGGCTATTACTACACCATAGTTACCAATATTAAATATGAATAATTGTGTCAAAATAATACGATAAGCATATGTACTACATGTATTTGTGAATCCACAATAGCATTGGCCAGATGTAATTATGAATATACCATACACGAGTCTCCTTGCAAATATCGTATTTTTCCATGCAATCTCTTCCTTTAACTATCTACATGTATAATTCTTAGGCATCCTATCTCAAGGATCCTACTATGTCACAAAATAGAATAACACTTTGAAGTGCCATTAAATGGATCTATTTCATCACATGCATTCATGTTGAATAACATAGTAAAATTTTTGATACCATTGTTTCAAAACTTTATTTATGTCGTATAAAGACATTACTATTTACACATTTTGTTGCTTACCCTCGGGTAAGATAACTGCTAGCCAGTTTCATGTAGATTTATACTTCTAAATTTATATTTCGAAGTTTTATTTTCATATCGGAATGATATGCTTCCAAATTTTGAGAAGTTAAACCACATATATTATAAGAGCATACAAATGAAAATTAATCAAGAGATTCTTATGTTTGTAATATAAACATGTATTTCAAATATGTCATCAGCTCTTACTTCTCATTTGGAAATCCACTAACACGTAGTGATTTCATTTTTTCTGAAAGTCACTAGTTCAAACGATATAACTATTATTAGTTTTTACAACTTAATCCATGATGATATTCTTAGAAAAGAACACATAATTCAAAATTTAGAATACTTATATTTCCATTCATAGTCCTATCAACTTCGTGTTGAATGTCTTAATATTCATCAAAACTTCTATCTTATTTTGATGAATTCCAACCAATATTATTGGATTTAATGGAAATAGCTTCTTGGAGTATAGAAGTATTATTTTATTCTAAATTTCCAAACAAGAAATCGGTGTATATTTCTATTGAAATCATATACCATTAAGTTCTAACCGATTCTCATATTCTTTGGATCTATCTGCTTTCATTTTCCTCTTGAAATCCATTTATCGCCTAGTGGTTTACATACTAGAGGTACATCCACTAGCTCTCATGTGTGATTTGTCAAGATAGAATCAATTTCACTTTTAATTGCCTCTTTTCATTGAGGTATTTTAGAGGAAGTGAATTCCTTTTGAAAGTTTGAGGTTCTTTTTCAACCATATACACGCATAAATCATCTCCAAATGATTTCTCTCGTGTACCCTTTTACTCCATCATGATCTATTTCTTCCTCCATTTCTTCTTCATGAGAGGGTTCTTTATGTCTAATTGCTTTGGAGCATTTGTCTTTTATTTATCAAGACATGAAAACACATTTTGAAAGTATGATGCATTTATTGGTTCCATTATTCTGCCTTTATTAGAGTCGTTAACAAGAAAACAATAAGCACTATTGTTTTGTGCATAACCAATAAAGGTGCAACCAACAAACTAGTGTCAAATCTTTCAACCTTGGGGCTAGGTATAACAACCTTTGCAAGACACCCCCACATTCAAATGTATTTGTAAGATGGTTTTGTACTCGACCATAACTTGTATGGTGTTTTATTCGTTTTCTTTGGGGGTACCTTATTTAAAAGGTAATTAGTTGTTAACACAACTTCCCCCACATTAAGGGTGGCAACCCATAAATTAAAAAACATGACATTAATCATTCCCTTTAAGGTACAGTTTTTTTTTTCGTGATGCCATTTTGTTTTGGCGAATGAGGTGCAATCAACTCATGTCTTATACCATGATTTGAAAAAAATTCTTCAAACGGTGATACATATTCACCTCCACAATCATTGCTTAGTACTTTAATACTTCCATTGAGTTGATTCTTAACTTCACTTTTATACACAAAAAGCTTGTCTATTGTTTCATCCTTACTTTTAAGTAAATTAACATAACAAAGTTTAGTGTTATCGTCAACAAAAGTGATAAAGTACTTATATCACCGTTAAATGGATTTGACTTCATATCACACACGTTTGTGTGAACTAATCCAAGGGGTTTAGTTGTCCTTTCAACGAACTTGAATGATTGGTGTGTTAACTTTGACTCAACACAAGTGTTGCATCCATATTTTGACTTATATGAAAGTCAGGCATGTGTTCAAGTTTGATTAACCTTCTTAACGTGTCAATATTAACATTTCCAAATCTAGCATGTCACACATTAGAAATTTAAGCAAGCGGAAGAGTTATCCAACTCATTGATATTAGGCTCATTAGCCAATATATGGAATTTAAACATTCCACCATCCTCATAGACCTTGCCTACAAACATACTTTTTTAGGTTAGTACAAACTTATTGGACTCAAACATCAAACAAAATCCATGTTTGTTCAAAAACCATCCAAACATTAAGTTCTTCTATGGAACATACAACACATCATGAAGTGTTAGCTCTTTTCTATGTTATACCATTTCTGAAATGTTTTAAACACTAAATTTAAGTTTTTAGAATCACAATTTCAAGAATAAATTTTTGCCTAAACTTGGACAACCTTATAATTCTTGAGTCACTCCCTCTTTGAGCACACATGGCGTGTAGCGCCCATATCAATCCATCACTCAATGGAGTTAGCATTTATAGAGTTTACTTCGGAAATCGTTCCACTTTGGATGGTGACATTTTCTGAAATCATTTATACTCTAAATATAAATGTTTAGAATTCTAATTTCAAGAAAATATGTTTGCCTCTTGCTTGGACAAAACTCAACATAATTAAAAATCTATATTTGAACAAATATAAAACTTGATTTCTGATGCAAATATTCTAAAATTTGATTTCTCATGCAAAAAACTGATGCACAAATTATGATATCAGAAAATGTGATGTTTTCTTTCAACAATTATTTAAAATGTGATGTTTTTTAAGTAAAACCATTTGTTTTCTGATTTCCAAAGCTGTTTTACATAAAATTGAGGTCGTTGTTGACTAAACAAAGCCTTTTTGTTTTTCACAAAACAATGTAGTCTGTTCAAGACTACTTTATCCCCATTTAATCTTGTCAAAAATGAAATCTAAGTTCAAAATTCAGTATCCCGGTCTCTTAGATTTCCAGGGACTACTTGCACAAGTGCACACGATTTTTCTACAATTTATTATGAATTTTACAAAACTGTGTATCATAGATGTTAAAATCTAACCAGTCAGTGAAAATCGTATTTTTCACGCTAGTTAGATTTGTTTACAGCTTTCCGCCAAAACTGATGAAACAAAGTAGACTCATATACAAAACTTTGAGAATTAGTTTCAACCAAAAATGATCATCTATGATTAATCTATGATTTTTCAAATATTGGGACAGATTAGAGCATTTCACAGCAACACGTAAATTGTGTTTTTGAGTTAAGCCAACTTCCTAACCCATTAGGTACTTAATAGAATCAGTACTGAAGCTGGAAAATTCGATACTTAAAAACAAATACATGACTTAATGACTTAATGACCAAAGATGCTTCAAAAACAGAAAAAAAATCAAATTTTTTCTTCTGAAAATCGTACAATATCAAAATAATGCAAATAAACTGTTTCCGATTTTTAGTTCGTTTCGTACAAACGAATTTGTTTTAAGATTGTAGGAATAATATTCCGGTAATGTACGAAAACAAACAAGAAAATAGAAAAATGAGGCATGTGTTTAACACATTGTCCTTAAAACAAATTTGTCCGCTACCGGGTGTTTGTTTCCCAGGATAAAACAGTTTGAAGTGGTTCTTCGAGACCACCCGAATCCTCGATATGCCTGAATTATATCCTCAATATAGCTAGAAAAAGAAGAATATAAAGTGGGGAAGAAGAGAGTTTTCTTACATTCTTTTTGGTGTCTTCAAATGGTTGTAGAGTAGTAGTATTTATACCACACATTCTATAATCTTCCATTTAAACACCTCTATTAATAACAAGATTAATATGTGTTTAATATGTAATTAAACTATAATATTAATTACAAATTCAGTTACGAAAGAAAGAAATATTTGCAAGAAAGGTCCCTAGATTTTTCTTTTCTTTCTCTCAAGCATTAAACTCTTTTATTTACTTCTTCCAACATCCTTACTTTAAGGATTAATTTCTCAGTCATTAAATCCATTTTGGACGAGTTAAAAAAATGGAAAAAACCCATTTTTATAAATTGGTTAACACCAATTTTCCAACATACAGAATATCCGAATAAATACAACGGGAATTTGATGACGACCAAGACGACAATTCAGATGAAAATAATTGGTTAGTTATTATGGATTTGTAAGTGTTATATTATAAAACATAACCATAAGTCTAACTTTTATCGACTATAATGATTGTTCAAGACTGTTAAAGACTACCTATTTATTTATACATATGGAAATCCTCTCTAGATGTCATGTTTCTTGTAGTGGTTACCATTTGTTGTGAATATTTTTCTTAAAGAAAGCTTTATTTTGAAAACAGCTAACATAAATTTTCTAAATAATACTCCTAAATTTAACATTTGTCTACCACCGGTGGCGGATCCAGGATCAAAGTAAAGGGGTATCCCCAACAAGTAAAGATGTATGCCGACATAAAAAAATCACGTAATACCCAATAAGAAAAAGAATTTCCGGTAAAAATTACACTACTAAATTGCCATTGTCTACCACCAAACATGAACCTTCAACCCTTTAGGAAGGAATTCATTTACATACATCTAATACTGCTTAGTCAAGGGAATTTTGGTCCGAACGAAAGCTTTTACCCAACATCAAAAACAAATAAGTACAAGTCATTTAGTTCCAGTAAAGACTTGTCAAAGTTTTCAACCGATCCCATTACTATCACTCTCCTTGTATCATTATATTGCTCTCCTTGTATCATTATATCAAAACTTGGACTTGGATAGGTGATATGCTGATTTTAAAATATTTGTAGAAGTTTAATTTTAATCGGTTAGTTTCTTTATGTTAATTATGATTTTATCCATGTCGTGATAAGGTTTTAACATCATTCTACAAACTGTAGACGAAACTACCTTATAGACTTCAACGCTTTATGTTAATTATGTGTGTACGATTATCAATAACATTAATTTTTATAGTAACAAACTTATGTTATTTTCTTAGAAGGGAATAAACTTTACAATGGACTTCTACAACAACAATGACGAGTATGGTCACATACACCTCCTTTGAATCCATCTGCCTTGCACGCAGCTATACATTTTTTATCATTCTCGCATTTTAGTATGCCTGTACAAAAAAGGCCATCTACTTCTTCCGATGACACTGCCATGTTATAACAAAAATATATAATTATAAGCATGTTACTATTTAAAAACAAAATCCTTTTCCAAAAACCTTTTAAACTTTTCAGTATATATGATTTTTAAAATAGTATTCAACTTGTATCGTGATCATAAGTAAATGCATAATTTTTATTTAGTCTGAATTTATGACTACGATTAATTATATTAATAAAGAAAAAAGGATGATAACAACCTCAATGCAAATATTACATATATGTTTTTCAAAATGAATACATATCTTGAAACATATTTCATTTTATGCTCTCAAGTGTTAGCAAGGAAAAAATGGAAAATATGTATTACCAAAAGCTTTCATATGGATGATGTTGATTGCAAAAAGAAGACACAAAACAAACATAAATTTAGTAGCATCCATGTCTTTGTACTTGAAATCTTCTGTTGAGGAATTGAGTCTTACTCTAGGCAGGACACACTTTATATACAATTAGCATTTGTCGTCTTTCTTTAAATGAACATTCAATGCTATTTATTGTATCATTATATCAACTACTAACTGTATTGGAATTATCAAAAGGCTTCTAGCCTAGCGGTATCTGATGTTGTCTTCCTTCCTTAAAATCGAGGGTTCAAGTCCCAATGTGGACATAGGTGGACTAATTTAAGAGTAGTTTAGTATATATTTGTATTTGTCGTTCAAAATAAAAAAAACCAAAATAAAATAAAATAAAAAAACTGTATTGCCATTATCACCAAAATTTGTATTAATTTCATTTTAATCCCTCTATCTGATTTATTCATGTTTTTTTAGATGTTTACTTTATAAATGGTTGGTATCTATTTGTCATTATTATAAATTAATTACCATGAGCCGGTTAAAAGGAATAATAAAACTTATGAAAGTTTGTATCGACTTAAAGCATCTCTAACCCATCCCAAATGCTATTTTTTCCTCTATTTTCTTTCCTTATTCTTCTCCAACTCTACCCCATTTGTTTTCCCATTTTTTCCCTTTATTTTCCTCCTTATTTTTCTCCAACTCTACCTCATTTCTTTCCCCATTTTTGAAGATACAAATAGTATTAGGTCATATATGGAATAATACTATTCATTTTTGCAAATATAGAGATGAAGTTTCAGTTGTCGGTTTAGTCCCTCGTTTTATATATTTAGACATTTTTAGTTTATTTTAACTATTATTTTTAATTTAGATATAATATTTGATATTTATAATATTTTGTTATATAACAAATTATATTAACTAATCATAATTATAAAATTTATTTTTATTTATTGAATTAATATAAATATTTAAATACATATTAAAATCATGAAACACGATAACGTATTTATTTATATGTGTATTATAAATATAATCTATTTATTATTATTGTAATGAAAAAATAAAGATTATATATTTTTAAACCAAATTAGTACGAGCGTGTGTTTAACAATCTATGTAAGTTGGAAAAATAGAATGTACTGTGAATATATTTTTGGGGTAAAGAATAGGGTAAAAATGAAGTGGGGTTGGATATGAAACACTATTTATCCCATTTTTTACTCTACTTTTAGAAAAAAAAATAGAGATGAGTTGGAGATGATCTTATGTAATTAAAATTGTACTTGTTATGTTTGTTATATATCAATTTGTTGCAGTTTATAAAAACAAAAATTAAGATGTGTATTCGAACACTTCTTAAATACCTTTTATCAAGTGAAAACATGTAATATTCTTTTTAAAATATATTTTCTTACTAGAATAGCAACATTAAAAGGTAATTAAGTTGTTGAGTAATGATTGATTTTTCATATATAATGTTGGTTGCTATAATTATGGTTAGTTGGTCTTAATTACTGTAGAATGACTAGATAATATGACTAAGATCTAAGGACCATAAATTTTGGATTTTGAAAATATTGTTGGTCAAATTAGAGATTAAAAAAGTTAAAAGGTTGAAATTAACACTAAGTGATTATGTGGGGTTTATTTAAAATTTTGGCACTTACTTCCGGTTAAGCATTTGACAACAAAGGGTGTGCGGCCGCACACATCATGGTGGCTGCACACACCCTTTTTAGGTCCAAAAATGGCAATAAACTTCTTATAAGGCTAAAGCATGAAGTAAGAAACCTTCCTAGATGAGTCCTAAAGCCTTAAAATACGTTTTGGCACATTTCATAAGGAGTGTGCGGCCGCACACACATCCTGGCCGCACACCCTGGCCGCACACACACAAATAGTGTGTATTTTGACCATACACTCCCTTGTATAGCCATATACCCCTTATATACAATCATATATGGTTGTAAGACTTCAAAATAAGTGTTTACTAGTCCATAAGGTGGTTAAAAGTCACTAATTAGTTGTTATAAGCACTAATTATATTCATATATGTATCATTATATGTTAAATAGGATCCGCGTGTGTGCTCAAGTCTTCACTTGCCACTTAGCATCCTATACAATCCGTTCATCCAAACCACTCACTACATGTGAGTTCATACCCCTTAATTAACCTTTTAAATGTTTTTAAATGCTTTTATGGGGGGGAATACAAGTTGAACAATTATAGTTATTATATCAATCACATGTGATTAATAACTACCAAACAAGTGGATTTCTTACTTTTCAAACTGTGTTACCAAACAGTTTTACTTCAAACTGTTTTACAAACTCTTTTTCATATCAAATACTTTTATTAAACTCTTTTAACTTATATTCTGTGTATCTATATAGATATAGTTATATAAGTAGGATTGAAAGGACTTAGGACTGATAGCTCACCCTACTTCATGTTCCTTGTTTGGTTGTGGACTTAGGGTATCAGGGTTATTTGTCTGAAGGTCGTTTGAATCCTAGTTATATATTATGTATATGTATATAGATATAAAAGGTTACTTCTTTCATTCAGTTCAATACCTTTGGGTAGCAAAGGTATACACAAACATGTTCATACATACGAACAACATTACTAGTAAGCTATAATAGGTATAGTGTAGGGAGATACTAATACTATTACTAGATCAATGAAACATACAATGAGTCAGTTCATACATGAGTCATAATACATAGTGATGAGAAACAAACGTAATACATTGTGATGAGAAACAAACATAATACATAGTGATGAGAAACAAACGTAATACATAGTGATGAGAAACAAACGTAATACATAGTGATGAGAAACAAACATAATACATAGTGATGAGAAACAAACATAATACATAGTGATGAGAATCAAACAATACATTACAGAGAGAACATACATACAGGCTAGACAGAGGAAGAACACACAATACAACTAGCACATACATTACATATACATTACTTCAGTTATGTGAGCCACGTAACGGGGCATGGCACTACGTGTCATGACCTTTTTTGTATCCAGGATATCCTTAAGTAGGGAGCGTATGAGTTTGTGTATAGATCTATACTAGATTGACTATCCTACACCTTGCTGCTCGCTACAGTGGGACTTGCAAGTCTATGGGTGCCAAACGTCATTTCTTACGACGTCTTACATCGTCGTTTTTCTATGAGTCGGTAGCAGGGTACCGACTGATCACATGGTACTTTAAATAACAATTGGTTTAAGGTAGTTAGTACAGCAGTAGTTACTTAATACAACACTACAGTACTATTTCATTTTCCCATTACATTCACTTTGTGAACATTCACACAATGATCAGTAATGTAAAAACTATATTTTTGGTTAATGATAGTCAGAATTGGGAAAATACATACTCTTACAAGAGACACACACACAGACACTAGATGCCTTGGTAGAAGGCTACTTTTAGTAGGAAACATAGGGTTTTCTAGGAGAATTCAAACTTTTACAAACTTATACAAACATCTTTTACAAACATCTTACAAATGCTTTCATACAAATACAGACACTAATATACTTATGATCTCACCAGCTTTAAAGCTGATAAACTCTTTCAAAATAACTTGTATTCTCAGGTCACCAGTAGACAGGTACCGGTGCCAGGTTTTGAGAAGATGGAGCTCGTTCAAGACTCATCTTTTATTTTGATACACATTTTTGGTGTCTATTTAACTTGACAGAACACACTTGTATGAAATTATATTATTAATGCAATGGATGATGTTGTTGCTTGTTTACTACTTTGCATTGTTGCGATACTGTACATGACGTCCTCCACCCCAGAACGATTTCGCCGTTCCGGTTTTGGGGTGTGATAGATTGGTATCAGAGCATTGTTTATAGTGAATCGAGTGTATCAACCCATAAAAGATATACGAACTATAAACACAGCGGGATTAAAATACTCTGATAAAGAGTTTATACTTTTAAATAATAAAAATATTTAACCAAGTATACATACCTGCATTCATACTAAAATCAGTGTCACTAGGACAGAATAAAAGTATTACGATTGTTGGGCAACACAAGTAGACTTAGAGACATATGGTCAACCCTGGGAAGATGTAGCCTGATCAACTACATTATCCGAGGAGTGATTAGCATGTGTCTAAGTGTGGTTGTGGGGTTGCAACAAGTCTAAAAACTTACCAACACTACTACAACGAGAACAGTAGAACAGTTAATAAACTTAAAATACTATAGGAGTATTTTGTGTTACTATTAATTACTTATACGAGAACTAAAGGTCTTTATTAGTATGTCAATAGTTGCTAAGTGGATACACTAAGGTTATATGTGTCTAGGATATCATAGACTTAGAATCTGTGATCTTTGCTTTACTTCCTATTCCTTGTTTGGTTGTGGGCTTAGAGTTAGGGTCACTTATTCGAAGGTCTATCCTGTCTTGGTTACATATGACTGGTATGCACTACACAAATGTTGAAGTAACTGATAAAGATCATCTTATAATTATCTAATTAGTGCGTCTATTTAGTTATTTCTTTATCCCTTTTCTTGCGTAGATATCATGGCTGGATTCCATATCCCCGGAGACCCGTACTACCCCAACAACGGCAATGCAGGATGGCTGGGAGAGGAGCCAAAAGATGATCACCCAATCCCATTGGATGATCACGAAGCTGAGGGCTTTTCTAAGGATTCTGACTCAGAGCCAGAAGTCAACAACCTACCCCCATCTGCTCAGGACCCAAACCTGAATCCTCACCCAACATTTCAAGGACCCACACCCATGTGGCCCACAAACTTGAATAGATGGAGTCAGGAACAGGGTCAACCCATTCCCTACAATGGAGACAGTAGCTTCTACAACCTCACTGAGGGAGGTTCAGCTGACAGGGTCCTACCCATCATGGTTCGTAGGATTGCTCGGAACACCGAGCAAGGTCGAGCGACTATCGACCGAGTCGTGGAGATTGACGCCAACTCTGGCGTTAACACAGTCCGCATTCGCCAACTAGAGTCTGCTCATGAAAGGACTCAGGTCTGCAATGCAGTTCTGC